ACACTCGGCCTCTGCATAGCCATATTCTTGACATTAAGAAGAGTGTAAACTTAAGGGTTAGGTTTCTTTGTTTGGACCAATAATAATAAAAATTAACAGACAATAATGCCAGGGAAATTATGGAGGTTCTTATTAGAAGTAATTGCAATGCAAAGTGAAGAACGGAAAGTGTAACAAAAGGTAACTTGCCATGGTCTGGGACCGAACCTGCGACCATCAAATAATGCGTTCGATGTTCAACCACTGAATTAGGATAGCGCTCATCCTTCATAGCGTCTACTTCATGGGTATATATGTGCATTTAAACGCGGGAGCTTCGGTCAGCGCTCCTGATGCCACTGCAACGAGTGTGGAACACTCTCGTTGCTTGTTGTGGTGTCACGTAGTACGTGAACTTATTGCGAGATTGCAGCAAACGACTACTGCAAGTCTGCCAGAACAAAACACTCACTGTGAATGAAAGAAAGTAAATTTAAGGGCTCGTTCTCTTTGTAGACTCACCTAGGGAACGTTACTCTTTGAGTACTTCCCCAGCTAAGCCAAAACAAAGACTTTGATTTTCTTATTTCATAAGATTTTAACACACAATCCTCTGCTACCATCCAGGGGCAAAGCTTCTCTTGCTCGGGGCAAGTTGTTCGGCGCGCCGTAGCCAGCCGCTGAAGAAGCTGGTGACGATGAAGAGCAAACAAATCCTCTACCATCAGTATAGTGTACAGTAATGGGGCAGTGTGCCGTCTTCACAACAGACCAATGGAACGACGGTGAGCACTTTTGCGATGACGCCACCAGAAGGGCGCCACCATCGAACGGTGTGCCCAACGTGCGTAATTCGAGTTGGCATTGCCGACCATTGTGCAGCTTTTAAGTAAAATAATCACGTAGCCCGATTGCATATTTAGCATATGGATGCATTAATGAGATAAATAATGCTGCTTCTGCGTAGTAAAGCTCGCACACTTCATATCGTAAAACAGGGACCCAGATTGTCTATTTGCTTACCGTTTTGATTTCAAAACACACAAACAAAAGATATCACAATTGATTTGATTCTTATGCACCTCTGTCAAGCTATCACACAAACATGAAGTCACGTGATAAAACAAACGAAGATGCCCTGAAAGATAACGCTATCTTAGGGTGAGTTCCACGACCACAACCATGAGTCAGGAGATTGAGCAGTCGTGATCTTAAAAAAATAACGCTCAATGACGTACATAATAAATTGTTTACACATCTTGTTAATAATTTTATTACGTTTTAAAACCAGCGCGGCAGCTACAACAACCAATATCAGACGCTTAGTATCTCAGCTTCTCGTAAATTGCTTCAGAGGTAGCCAGCAGGTGGCGGCACAGTATTACAATGTGCTGCTACAGTGTTGGCTGCCATTGCAAAAAAAAGCCATGCTTTTGGCGCCACACGGCAGACTGCCCCGTTCCAGTACATCATAGCACCACGGCACAGCACTTCCAAAATAACCACTATACGTCATGACAATGACGATGACGTTGATGAAGATGATGATCATGAACAACATGCTTGTGCAATATATGACGTCTCGGTATGCTCGACATGAATTTTGTATGACTAGAAGAAATCAACAACCACTACAACTCGTCTCTGCCAACTTCAGGCTACATGCGATACCACAAAGCAATGATAAGGAAGGCAAAACGAAATTCACTACTGAGCACAACACACCACTTATACCAATAAACATTATAAAACGAGATTCACTACTGAGCACAACACACCACTTATACCAATAAACATTATATATATATTTGACTATAAACCACTCGACACAACCCCTATTTACAGATTTTTCATCGCAAGCTTGCACCTTCCCCTTCCTACCACTCTGCCATGGTGATGTACAGGTTAAGGTAATCGACTGCTGACCCGCAGGTGAAAGGATGGAATCGCGGCTGCGGCGGCTGCATTTTAGATGGAGACGTTTATGAGGTAGGGCCTTGTTCTCAGATTCGGGTGCACGTTCGAAAACCCGAGGTGGTCGAAATGTGTGGAGCCTTCCACTACAGCGTCTCTCATAATCATATGGTGGTTTTGGGACGTTATTTCCCACATCAATCATCAAATCCCCTTCCTACTGTTTTTCAAATGCGGAGCATTTCTTAGTCGCATAACGTGGCACTTCGATGCTGGCGGTGGCGCCGTCCACATCCTCACTGTTCATGCTCGCGTCACGTTCCGCATGCTCACGTCTCGTTCCGGCCCAGAAACACATCCGCAAAACTGTCAATACCCTTCATCTCTCTCGCCTCGCAAGGTCGACGCAGGCAGTGTTCGCTTCTAAAAAATGCTCCACCTTCTCAAAGAGAATTGTAAGGAAACGCGAATGTATTTATTGTGCCGAAGGAGAGTACCATTGCCGTCAGACATTCGCCTTTACAGACTTCTGGCATCGCCTTCAGAGGCACCCAGCCAGCGAACGGTCGAGAGTGAGGCGTTAGTGGACAGGAGAGTGGGGCGCAGGGAGGAGAGAAAGCGATCGGCGAGAGGACCGCGAAGCACTGCACCTACCCTCTGAGCCTCTCCTACACTTTCTTGCACAACATGCTCTGGTTGCTGAGAGCGAGGATAAACTCGTGAGCCCACAGCTGTTATGGGAGAGGGAGTGAGAGCGAAGAAATAAGACGTGCCAGCGCGTGGACAACACCGGAAGCCTGACATAGCTCGAGTAAATTGATTCGCATTTAAACATGACTTGCTCGCGCGGCACATCAATCGCTGGCCGACCCGTATATGTAGGCATCGCGCGTTCGGAATTCAGTCAAGGGCGTCTTTGCTTTCGCTTAACATTGAAGGCGACCATTCTTCTTTATAGAATAAATGATAATAATAACGAAACAAGAATTAGACATTCCCAAACCATACCTAATTGCGCAACATTCACGCGATACCCCAGATCTCTTCAACGGATTCGATTGATAGCCACTTTGTGATGATGTGAGCGGCATATTTTTTTAAATGTACACCACTTCACTCGTTATTCCATTATGGATGATTGATGATCCGGGATCTAACGTCCGAAAATTCCCATATGAATATAAAGAAATTACCATATGAAATTTGAGCACACGGGCCTACAGCATTTGGGTCTCCATCAAAAATGTAGCCTTCACACCCGGGATTCAATCCCGCCACCTATTAGTCAGCAGCCGAGTACCTTAGCACTAAACCAGCATGACCGGGCCATTTTATGCTTTTGCAGTAAATATCACGGATGATATAAGGGCTGTGTTCTAATTCTTAGACAGCACGTAGACTGTCTACGCAGACGGCTTAGAAGACAGCACCAAGCCCATGCTGCCCGAGAATAGGAACACTTCTGGAGGGCTTTTACGCGACGATGCGACACCTCGCGTTGAGAAGAAAAAGCCAAAATAAACAAACGTAACATTCGTATTTTCTGACCTATTTGGTGTTGAAATTTAAAAAAAAACAAATAAACGTTACCCACGTTGAGCGTCTGGGAAAGCGTCTGCTTGTCTGCAGACGCCCATTCCGGCGAAACTTAATCTGAGTGATTCGCTGAGCTGCCATCTTGTTTAGACAGCAAAGTAGCCTGCATCGTAGTTGTCTACAATGCGGTCTTCTCGAAGCTGTTTATTTTACCGGCTACGTGAGAATTCGAATGAGACAAGATTGGCGCCGTTCATTTACCTGTCTATTTAGCCGTCTTCGGTGAGTATTGGAACACACCCAAGGTGACGCCGAATTATCGCACTGCTCTGCCCACTCATCATCAATGAATTCGTGGGTATGCCATAGTTCTTTTACTGCTACTTTGCTTCGAAACGTGTTTTAAAAGTATTGGAAAATTATTTATTCTCATTCGCACTGAGACTCTACTTTTCTCATTCGATTCGCACCTTAAAATTCGCTATTCCAACTTTCGAAGGACCAAATAATAAACGAAGAAAAATAGTTTTTATCGACCTTGAGTTGTGTAACCCGCAATGTTGCTGTTGCAAAAATATCGCAGGAAAATAACGTCAACTAGGGCTGTGTTCCGATTCTTAGACAGCACGTAGACAGTCTACGCAGACTGCTTAAAAGACAGCACCGAGTCCATGCTATCCAAGAATTGGAACACTTCTGGTTGGCTTTCACGCGACAATGCGCCACCTCGCGTCTAGACGAAAAATCTAAAATAAACAAACGTAACAGCTGTATTTTCTGGCTTATACGTGTTAAAATAAAAAAAAAATAAACGTTACTCACATCGAGCGTCTGGGAAAGCGTCTATTTGTGTACAGACGACCATTCCGGCAAGATTTGTTTCGTCTGAGCGATTCGCTAAGCCACCATAATGTTTAGACAGCAAAGTATTCTGCATCGTATTTTTCTACGAGGCGGTATTCTTGGAGCTTTCTATTTTGCCGGCTACGTGGGATTAAAGTGGGATTTTAGATGGCCACTGTCCATTTAGCTGTCTATTCAACCGTCTACGGTGATAATTGTAACACAGCCTATATGAAGGAAGGCTACAAAGCACCCACTAAACGGGCAGTACATTTTGCTAAAATGAGGAGGTCAACGCGTACACTGAGCGGGCAAGCATTAGCGGAGCGGACAGTGGCAGGAAACTTTATGCTTAAGCTGTCTGATGGAGTGCTGGAAAAGCGGACACCTCCCGGTGTTTGACGACAATATCTGCTCGGCACGGCTGCTGTCGCGGTCCTAAATCACACTCAGGAAGCGTACGCGGAATTTTCATTTCAGGAGGAAGTGGGATGGAACAACTTGATATTAGGTAGAGTTCAGGCAGGCAAATGATTATTTTGAGCTTTGTATGTTATGGCACAGAAAAGTTCGGAGAGGGAGGATGGTGTGCCAACGTCACTGCTCACACTTCATATAAAGCCAGAAGAACTGTTCACTCAACAGATGCTGGGAAAGGCAAGAGCTTTATTTCATGGCAAAACTAAATTACAGCCGTGTACTTCCAGAACAAAAATTTAGCTTCGAATTCACTCCATGGTCTTTTCAAGTCTGATGAGTTCGAGGATGCCATCCTGCATTTCCTTGACGGCCTCGTACTCGGTGAGTCCCAATCGGCGCTTGTTGGAAATGTCGTACACCCCACCCTCGCTCTCTGTGTGCTCACCTCTGGTGCCTGCGTTGTTAGCGGTCATTAGGATGCACGTAATGGCAACGCGCAGTTGTGAAGTCTACATTGTCTCGCATTGAAACGTTTACCGATTTTGCAAGTATGCTGTTTATAATACAATGAGCGCTCAGAAAAAGCATGTGTGAGTAAGTATTCATGGTTGTACAAGCAATACAACTTTCGGAGTTCGGGCACATAGCTGGCGTAAACGGCGCAGTTTGGCTCTTTTAAGTAAAGTGTTAAACTCAGCGTGTTATGTAAAACAAATACCAATCCCTATTGATGTGAAGTCATTCCTTTTGTTACAGGCAGTAGGTTAATTTAATAAATTAGGACTTGAAAAAAAGACCATTAACCGTCTCTCTTAACGAATTATATATGGCAAGCGGTTTTCCGCTTGTCATATATAATACGTTAAGACTAAATGAAAGAAGTTGTTTATACTTGGCAGGAACGAAGAGCATGTAGTGAGCAACTGTGACCAAAATTAAACTTTTACAGCCTGATTACAAATGTTGTCGAAAATACCAAAGTACACATTCTCGCCGAGCGAATCCTTGTCTTGGCCAATAATTTGCCTGCCAGTTGATTGCAGGTATATGAATCAGTATACGTGACAGCAATTAGTCCTTTTTGATGATGAACCTGCCCTTTCTTTGAAAGCGCGGCCCACGTTCACACAGAGGCAAGTAGCAGATTGTCAAGCGTTGGTATGACTGCGCTGAAAAAGTGAAGATGGCGCTAAAATACTGTTTGTTGTAATGTATTGACTGTGAACGTCAAAAGTAACGCATTCATTTTTACTTCACCGTTCGCTGTCGTTGACTTAACCGCACAAATGGTCGCACTCGCTAACTTCACTAGTGTCCGGGGGAGCTCTTGGCCGCTTAAATGAATATATGTGAAAATTGCTATGACGAGATATATTTGTATGATGAACGTAAACGACAGTTGGTGACATGAAAATCAGGAGTTGCATGTCATGTACGACATGACTTATTGGCATGACTGTCTGTTATAGTTCAATAATGATGTGTCTAACAAAAAGAACGAGCCCTTATATGTACAGTTCTTTCCTTCATTCATAGCGAGGATCTAATTCAGGAAGGCTTTGTACCTAAGTAGTATGCGAAAGATCATTGATCAGCTGCTAGCTCGTAATAGGATCACGTGGTACGTTACGCCAAAACAGGCAGAAGTGTTCCACACTTGCCATCATGGCTACAGGCGGCACTGATAGACGTTCTCCCATTTATTTCGCATGTATACCGAAGAAAAAGGAGAGAATAGCCACCCTGGTAGCTCAGTTGGTAGAACATCGGACGCACTTTTCGAAGGTTGCAGTTTCGTTCCCTGCTAAAGTGGTTGCTTGGGTGTGTTGAAACAACATACTTATCTAGCTGATTGCACGAGCTACGAGAATTGCTTTTTGATAATCTCCATTTTTCGTTTCTCATTGACTATTCCTTGTGTTTCTTTTTTTTTCTCCACTGCAAAAGTATATATGCGTGGTTGGAAGAAGAAAGTTTTTGTTGTAAGTGAGCACTCGGTCTGTGTGCTTCTTCGTCTGGTCTCAGATACTTCGCGCTGTTTTTCCTTTCACGATTCGGTCTCTGCCCAGGACAAGTTATCTTTTATTCCACTTTCCTTTCTTTACATTTACATTGCAATAACCTCACATGACATCCCTTATACTTTCCACGGCATCATTGTCTGTTGAAGCTCATTATTTCTCTTACTTTCTTCTGAGGCTCATGGTGTGCTCGCAGGTGGTTAGCTAGCTTGACATAGACCAAAAATGGTATTGTGTGACGTCACTGTATCATGGGAATATATGACGGGTGAGGATAGAATAACCACAACATGCAAGTCATCTAGGGCATGAGTTAAATACTACGCTCATGGAGCGTTCAAGGTCTTTTCCCTTTCTTTAAAAACGCGTCAATTGATATTTCGTGACGTGGCTCTATGACGAACACAAATGATGGGTGGTAACATAAAATCATTACGTACATGTCCTATAAGACATAACTTATTTTCGGCGCTAGTGGTGCAATCGCGTCCGGTTGACTAGTTTATATTCACCAAAACTGGTATTGCGTTAGTGATCTAGGTGACAAAACGACGAACATAAGTGGCAAATGGTGGCTGTCAGAAACTTCTAATTAGGTCCCGCCAATGTAACGGTGGCGTGGGGCATATTTACAGGCTTACACTTTACGCTACGGACGGCGACACCCGCAAGGCCTTCAAGTGGTACAATTCAAATTTATTTGCAGGCATGTTGATCCATGCGGGTTTGCACGTGTAGTGATGTTCGAGTATACGGACGTACTCGTAGAGCAGATATGTACATTTGACTAAACGCAAACAGGAGTTTATTTCGACAAGGGTGATGACAACATCTAACAAACATGAACTAATAGAAATCACATAAACTCGCCTGATGAAAACAACAGATACAAAGCAATGCTATAAAAGAGTGCTACAAAAGGTACAGGTAGACATAGCGCGGAAAGTTAACCCCGGGTTTACAAAGTAAACCCGGGGTTCTTTCTTTCTTAATAAGTTCATGGACAACGGTGTGCTTCATTCGGGTCTGCAGAAGCAGAAGTATAGAGTAAAACATGCGTTATTTTGTTTAAAATAACCGTCGTTCGTGCATTGCAGCTTCAGCCGCGCTTGACCAAATGTGGCGTTGGGCTGGATTGTCATGGCACTTTCCCTGTTCCCGTGAATTCGGTTTGGTGCTGTTGAAATGTGAACCATTCTCTTGCGTGGCAGTCTTGGTGTAGCAGTCCATAGTTATCATCATTTTGTACTAGACCTCTTAAGTGTTCAGCTTCATCGCGTTTTCTAGCTTGCATTGCATTATCCTGTCCAGTGATCAGTAATTATACGACACGTTGTGCCTACCACTGTAATTTTAACACCTAATGCTTACCAGTTTGTTGTGGCGGGCTTAGCATGATTGCTACTAAATAAACGCCGCTTGATGCTGTTGCTGAGCTCAACGAAATTTAGGAGGATATTTCAGGCTTGAATGATCTAAAACGTACCTCTCCCGTTTCACGAAAGTCGTGAATTTTCAATAGAATCATGCCGTGTCAAACAAAATGTTACGTCGCGTCTTTATGCAATATATTAGCTGCTTCTTTTGTGCAAAGACAGCTACTTCAACACGCTGTCTGGCTGCTCTCACATCTGTGTATGCATAAAAAAAGGGGAAAATTTATAGGCCAGATCATTCGTTTTTTTCTTTTCCGACAGGAACCTCAGCTACGGTACAGGTGTGGTGTGTCCTACCTTAGCAATTAGGAAACTCCTGTTGCACCTAAGACCATGTCCGAACGTTTTCCTCGTTCAAGAAATGTACTAACCAGCTGGTGAGTGGATGTTTTTCAGATCAAAGACCATAACCTAATTAGCATCTGCGTAATGCCAGGCTTCATTAGAACCTGAAGCTTAACAGAACAACAAATTCAGATTAGGTTAATAAATAATACTTTTAACTGTATTGTCCTTCATTTCTCTTGTATAGGTGCCCTATTACAAGAGAAATTAATGGTGAAGTTACACTCTTCACTTTCGGGCTTGAACAGCGGCATGAAAATATTACTCTGATGTAGGGTATTCTCCTTTTTTTTTCTTGCTTAGACAAAACTAGATCAAAAGAAATCTAAATTTTCTTCATGCTGGATTCTTTGCTGTCTTACGACAAAATGCAAATCATGTTTACTGCCAGAGGAGCTTTCAAGCATCATCAAAATATGTCACCTAGCATAAAAAAAAAGGCATTTCTAGCTCTAAGCTCTTACGCGTGTCCAGCTTGCCAGTCATGTGCTGGAAAATATGGCGCTTTTAGCGCTGTGTGAAATTAGTTTGAAAAAAATATGATTAGAGATTTTTTAGTGCTTCTTAAAAAAAACACGTGTTCTACATCCCCATGAGCACTCCTCGCAGCCCACCTCGCACTTGCAAGTTGTACTTGGCAGCGGTGGAGTCAAGCACAGTCTTGTCGGAAGCCAGCTTGGGCAGCTTGATGTGCACGCTGGCGCGGATAGTGGTGCCCAGGTTGGTCGGGCAGAAGGTCAGAAAGCCCAGGCGGCTGTCCCGCGAGAAACGAAGCTTCTTGCCGAGGATCTCCACCCCTCGCACCATGCGGCCGTACACCTGGGTACGCCATCAAAGAAACTCATTCTTCGTCATTATTTACTGTAACCTGAAATATCCCAACAAGGTGTGTCGTATACCGTGCAGAAAATAAAACAAAGAGACTGATTGGAATAGTCGAATGTTGAACTTGGTAACTCAACCTGACCACTAAACATTAGCAATTATGGTCTGTTTGTTTTCAAATGCCAACTACAATGCAGCTAAAGTCTTAATCATATTTGTAAACGACGGTGCTAAGCTGAACGCATAGTTTTTTATTATATTTAGAACATGCTGAGATCATTCAAGACCAGGCGGCGAGGACCAGAACAGTATATTATGCAAGCATTAAAAATACAACCAGTAATCAAGTTGTAAGAAAGAATTGTTCTGTGTATTATGCGTCAAAAAATATGGCAAAATACATAAAATATTCAGCAACACGCGGAGATAGATCGAAGCAATGTCTCCAAGCTCGAAGAAAATCAATATACACATACATATACAAACAAACATAATATAATTAGTCACACTCATTCAGTAAGTACTCACACAAGTGATACTAATATTAATACACATCATACTAAGAAACGGAAAATAAAAATATCAAGAAAAAAGAGTTAAACAAAAAAATGAGGATCACAAATACCACAGAAGTCATTGGTGAAATTCTCAGAGGAACCCTTTTTTGAAATAATCTCACAAAACAACAATGGGTGGCAAACTATTCCCCTGAATTATTGTTCATTTAAAAAAAAGGAACTCTTATAGAAATATTAGTCCAAGTGGTGTATGAAAGCAGGTAATGCATATAACAATGGCGACCGTGCGAAAAGAAAATGGATGCATTTATTTATGCGCTGAAATATATCTTCCTGCACAAAGATGTCAGTTTTTCTCATTAATTTTGTAGAAGCATCCGTCGAGTTAAACTTCGCAAAAAAAAAAAAACCGCGTGATGGGTCTTTGGATCATCTGAAGTTTTCGAATGTCTTCTTTGTAGAAATGGTTCCGAATCGTTGACTCTGTGCATACTTTAGCTTTGGTAAATAATATACTTTGTATTCAAAGACTTTTAATTTTGGAAGCGTATTATTTTTTTTTCGATTTGTGACTCAGAAAAGTAGCTTCACGAGAATCTGAAGCGCATGCGTTTGTTCTATATGGAGACCAAGAAAGCCTGTTTGTAATGGTTACTCTAAGGTATTTATATTCTGTGACTTCATATACTGGTGTTCCTTAAGAGTGATTAGTGAACCTAAATGGCTGTTTTTTTTTCCTTGTCACAGGTAGGAGTACCAGTTTGCCAGAGGTAAATCTCATTGATGCCAGTGTCGGGCCTACACCTAGGATTTCGTTTTTTTTCGGAGGGGGGGGGGGACTTGCTGAATACTTAACTGTTTGATAAAAACAATTATCTTCATTATTTTCATTCAGAAAGACACTATGTGGGTTATTTTAGTTTTTTAAAGCTGCTTTATTGACAGCTCTAGTTTTTAGCTTTGAGTTTATTCGTCGTTGTTGTATAATATTTTATGCGGGCGCTTTGTCTGAGCAATTCCATGAATAAAAAGTAAGATGAAGTCACTGACAACCAACCATAAAAAGAGAGGAAAGGGAAATGTTCAATTTATTGAGGCACATTCAAGAATTACTTCACTTGGTGTCATCCGCGAGTTGTTCCACAGCGACCTCGAGAGGTACCACAAGTCCGCGGTGCGCTGAATCCGTTTGCTTATAAGTTCTCCGCACTGGCTCCTTGAATACGCCAAACTAAAGGGCAAGTCTTCGTGCCTTCTTCGTAAACGTTGCGACTACTTTGCTCACATTAACGGACTCTCTGTAGAGGAACATTAGAGCCAACGCGTTATATTGTACAATGGAGCTGTTACGAAGGTATGTTTTGAGGAGAGGGCATGTGCAGTCGGTGCGCCGCGGGAAAAAGTGTTGAGGAAATGATATCATGCTGGCCATATTTGCTAACCACAATGACGGCGTCGCTGTGGTTACGTGTTGTTCACTGAAGCTGGTCTAGCAGAGAGTGACGGCTGCATAGTTGTGGCATTTGCGACTCTGTAGGTCTCGTACTTCCGCATGGCGGAGAATATTTGTGCTCTTTGCCGCTTTGTTAGCTAAGCAGTTCTCTCAAGGGGGTAATTGTACTCCTGGCAAAGTTTACAAAATCCGTTAGCGTCGGGGTCTCAACTGTGCATAAAATGAGCGCGTATACACATGTGTCGTGCGGCAGATGAAGTAACTCAGGTGCTTAGCGAAATTGCATTCGGGCCTCATGATTAAAGGAACCACCAAGAACGCCTCGTAGGGTGGTGAAAGTTGCGCAGTGCTCCTGCTTGTGACAATAGGTGAAAAATGTGTGCTGAGTACGTTGATGTGCAGATATGTAGTTTCGTGTTCGTTCTGTGTACAGTAACAGCTCGCACGTGTGCACTGAAATACCTTTTCTGTTTCGATTGCGATGCTCGCACCTTCGGCATTACAGCAATCGTATTCGAGTGTCACTTTACCGTGCACAATGTCACCGAGGTTGCACATCACTGACGGCGGTGATCTCTTAAGTAGAACACGGGTATGGTGACCGGATGCCGCGTCGGCTGCGTAAGCGATGGATTGCAAGCTTAGAAGGCAGCGCACGGGCGATCGTGCTCTTTATAGAGTGCGTGAGTAATAATGTAGTGAAAACATTGGCACCACACTCATCGTAGTCACTGCCTCTAACACGCGTTCTCTTCTGCTTCCTTCTTTGTCAGGAGCTGTTAGTCGCTGTTTAATACAGAGACAAAATGATTTCGCCCAACAATATCGCGTTGGCACAGTGCTGAGCCCCATTCCATTGGTTGCAGGTTGTCACGACACGTGCGCCGCGCAGCCCACGTGGTTTCTGAGCCGTAGGGTGAGCCATGTTTTCTGCTCCATGATGATAATGATATAACGGGTTTAACGTTCCAAAACCACCATATGATTATAAGGAATGCCGTATAGTGGAGGACTCAGGAAATTTCGACCGCCTGGGGTTCTTTAACGTGCCCCCAAATCTGGGCACAAAGATAGACAGCATTTTCGCCTCCATCGAATATGCAGCTGCCGCACGCTTTCTGCTTCGCATTCGGAAGTGAATAGGAAAGAAGTATTTGCTCAATCAATATGGCCGACTTCAGGCTTCATTACGGCTTCACAACGAGTCACATTCGGGCCTCTCTTCAGCTGTTCCCTTATCCACGTACTTCCTTAGTCCGTGCGCTACCTACAGGGCACCACCGGCAAAGAACCTTGAGTAATGGTGTGTTGATGGAACTGATCCCGGAGGCCCAGGTCAGTGCCATGCCGGCTGGCCTGCTCATGTGTAGAGAACCAAACTTCAACGCGAAACTTCGAGTTCGCGCAGATCTTGTCGCTAGCTTAGCGGAGAGAGGCTGAATTGGAGGTGACTCAGTCACCCATGTTGCACGCGTTTTTCATTTGGCGCTAGAAAAACGTGTTCGCTGCTCGAAAACACCTACCCCTCCACTAAAATTTGGGGGGAGGGAGAGCCTCTTTTCTGGCTACAGGCCTAGCGAGAGTACACCACTCATTAACTTGTTCTACAGCAAAATTTAGGTCCTCTTGATCTTGTTGGCGCGTTACTTTTTTATACAGAACGCCGTCATCAGTAAACAAACGAGTACTAATGTTGGACACCACCATGTCAGCTATATTTGATATGAAAAATGCAGTGGTCCTAAAACACTTCTTTGTGGAACACCTTATGATGCTGGTTATAGAATACAATTATGTCCCTCATGTCAACGCACTGAGAGTGACTTGAAAGATAAGCATATGTCGTATTTATTAAAAAAATGAAAAATTCAAGTTTACGAGCTTCAAAGCAGCACTGACGCAAAATTTTAAACCTTCTTTTTTGTTCCATCAGATAGCTTATGCCTCACTTATCAGGGCTGGAAACTTTGTTTGCACGTGTATGGTGATTAGTTATTTAGAAACGTTTATAGAGTGCCCAGTCTCAATTCAGGGTTTACAGAGCAACGAAATAGGTATAATCCGTCCCGGGGGCAAAGTAAACAAAAATGGCCCCGTCACCATGGAAAGACGTGGGTGCCACGCATGAGAGCGTACATAAGTGGGCGCCCCACTGACAGCAGCACAGCTAGCACACGCAAGGCCACAGACACTGCGAAGGTAATCGCAGGTAGCATAAGCGCTAAGCACGCGCCAGCCATCAGCCAGCACAAACTGGTGAACTAGGCTTACTCACATTGCCGCTGCATTGATGTCCGCGTCACCAGGGACTCGGCATCTAACTCAGTTGCACGGCGTGCACAGTGAAATGAATTTGCGATATGTTAAAGGCAATACTTGCCCTTGATGTTAGATGTTATGTATGTCTTCACATAATTCAACCTTGCTCATTATCACACCTTCCAATTTTTGTGTTATAGCTCCTTTAAGGGAAGTTTCCCCTGAGGAACACAGTCAAATGCCTTGCTTAAGTCAGAAAAAATACATTAACTAGGCCAAAAGAATTGATTAGGTGTGTGACATATGAACTGTATGAGCTAGGTGTGTAAATGTCGATATTTTTTTTTTCAAAAGACTTGTTGAGCTGGAAACAGGAAGTTAATAATATAACACGAAAGTGCTTTACAGCGGGGTCCACTGCGCTTCCGCTGACATAATCCCTCGCTAATGTGACGTTGTGAAATATATACAAAAAAAATTCCACAGAAAAAAAATGAGGAGAGAAAGTTCCGTTGCCGGGCGTCGAACGCGTGATCTCCTGCTACGCAGTGGTGAAATCACTAGGCCACAGACACTTTCAAGTAGCCAGCAGCAAGCTACTAATATACATCGTATACCATTTGGCAGTCCTGAGATCTCCACCACTTCAATGCGTTTTTCTCATCAGATGGCGCTGCGCCCACCAGGGCTATGGGAGAAACAAGGACCATGGGAGAAAGGCTGAAGTCCGCGAGGAAGCGCTAGCGAAGGTGAACAAAGGAGCG